TATATATATATATATATATATATATATATATATATATAAAAACACACACATATCAGTGAATCATACTTACTATAACAAATAATAGCACCTTGCTATATTCCACTTACTTTACAAAACATACCTGAAAGATGTACGACTGTGTCATTGACACAGAAACTTCCACTTGAAGTACTGTTAAGGAATTTTTTGATGACTTCATCTTTGGTAGAAAACAGATAGAGAGAAAGGGGCCTCTCTCTGTGAAAAAATTATAATTATACTTAAAAAAAGTACAGGCATGATTATTCAGAACATCATATGATAAAAATATTTACAGAATATTGTGTTGTACATAAGAAAAAAAATCATCACCACAGTCTTACCTTTCAGTCTGTAAAACAGTTATAATTCAACACTAAAAAAATAAACACTTTGGAACTTCTAACTTCAAGTTTTTTTTTTTTAAATATCATGGTTAGAAATGTCAAGCAATCACTTTAATATATTTGTACATCCAATACACATGCATATTTTGTTTTGTTATCCAATGTCTATCACACTATAAGTTTAAATTTTGAAAGAAACTATTTACTTGCTGTTGATAATAGATATTGCTTCATCTACATCTTTGACTGGAACAATTGGAAGGACAGGACCAAAAATCTGAAGGTGAAAGCAAATGAAATAAAGTTTTAAAAGATATCAGTTCATTAAAGATTACTAACTCGACTGACATTTTTATGCTTACAAAATATTCCTAAAGAAAGAGTATTTAGGGTAAAATAAAAATAACACAGTAACTTAACTGTCAAATGAATACAAAAGAATTAAACCAGCAGAAGGAATTTCATTAAATTAAAACTCATTCTCTTAGTCTACAAACCTCTTCTTCCATGACTGGATCAGAAATTTTCACATCTTTCAAAATTGTTGGAGAGATATAGCATTCTTCTTCAACAAAATCACCACCGACCACAACTGTACTGTTAGTTATCAAATTACAGATTCGCCTGGTATACAGAAGCAAAAAACATACGTGAGTATCTGTGAAAAAGCTTAGAATTTATCTAAATTGATCAATAAGATATGAATTAAAAGTGGAAATGATTATTATATGCCGCAAAATTCAGTTTCATAATAGTTTAATGGAAGAATATTTATAAAAATATGAAGAATTTGAAAGTCAGCTTACATAAGAATATAATGCACATAAATAATTCAAAAGGATAGGAAATAGAGATCCTACATGGTAATGATTGAGAAATGAAAGTGAGTAAAGTGTTCAGTACATAAACCTAAGTAAAGAAGTTACACTATGGTGGTGGCTGAGAACTGAAGGTGTGCAAAGGGATCAGAACATAACCCTAAGTAAAGAAGTTACACTATGGTGGTGGCTGAGAACTGAAGGTGTGCAAAGGGATCAGAACATAAACTTAAGTATAGAAGTTACATTATGGTGGTGGTTGAGAACTGAAAGTGAGTAAAGTGTTCAGTACATAACCCTAAGTAAAGAAGTTACACAATCATTTACACACCTTCAGTTCTAAGCCACCACCATAATGTAACTTCTTTACTTAGGGTTATGTACTGAACCCTTTACACACTTTCAGTTCTCAGCCACCACCATAATGTAACTTTTTTACTTAGGTTTATGTACTGAACACTTTACACACTTTCAGTTCTCGGCCACCACCATAATGTAACTTCTTTACTTAGGGTTATGTACTGAACCCTTTACACACTTTCAGTTCTCAGCCACCACCATAATGTAACTTCTATACTTAAGTTTATGTTCTGATCCCTTTGCACACCTTCAGTTCTCAGCCACCACCATACAGTACATAACCCTAAGTAAAGAAGTTACTATATGGTGGTGGCTGAGAACTGAAAGTGTGTAAAGGGTTCAGTACATAACCCTAACTAAAGAAGTTACTATATGGTGGTGGCTGAGAACTGAAAGTGTGTAAAGGGTTCAGTACATAAACCTAGGTAAGGAAGTTACATTATGGTGGTGGCTGAGAATTGAAAGTGTGTAAAGGGTTCAGTACATAAACCTAAGTAAGGAAGTTATGATGTTGGTGGCTGACACCTGAAAGTGTGTAAAGAGTTCAGTACATAAAAGTAAGTAAAAAAATAATTTCATGGTGGTTGGGAACTGGCAATAAAAGTAGGGAATTGAGATGAGACAGAAGTGTAAAAAAAAAAAGATACTTGAAGCAGGTATGGAACTGATGAAAACTAGATATTAAAGCTGCTTAGTGGTTTACTTGAAACTGACAGAAACTAAGGAATTCAAGTGAGAGAGAAGTGTAGGAAGGAAAGCTGCTAAGTTGGTTAGACAGTAACTGATATAAAGTGCAGGTACAGAAGCTAGATAGTGGTGAACTTGGGAACTGAAAATCGTGGAACTGACAGAAAATAAAGAATTCAAGTGAGAGAGAAGTGTAGGAAAAAAAGCTGCTAAGTTGGTTAGACAGTAACTGATATAAAGTGCAGGTACAGAAGCTAGATAGTGGTGAACTTGGGAACTGAAAATCGTGGAACTGATAGAAACTAAGGAATTCAAGTGAGAGAGAAGTGTAGGAAGGAAAGCTGCTAAGTTGGTTAGACAGTAACTGATATAAAGTGCAGGTACAGAAGCTAGATAGTGGTGAACTTGGGAACTGAAAATCGTGGAACTGATAGAAACTAAGAGTCTGAATACAGAGTTAAGAAGATATATTTAAACTGTGCTAATTACATGTGCATATGATCAAATTTTATGTTTAACAATAATATGTTAGAATTTTCTTACTGAAAATGTTTTTTGTTGACAATCCTGGCAAGATCACTTGAGTTTTGAGGGTTTTCCCCAAAAAACTCACTAAGAATTTTACTAGCCATGTGTATAAATTCTTCTTGAGTTTCTTCAGAACAAAGTATGTAGTCAGGTGCAACACACGTTTGTCCAGCATTAATGAATTTTCCCCACAAGATTCTTCGACAAGCTATTTCAATGTTAACTCTTTTGTCTAGGTAGAGAGGGCTGAAAATATTCCAAAATAGAACATCAAGTTCCCAAACTAAGGAAACAGTAAAGCAGAAATGAACATCTTTTATATTATTTGCTTGGTTCTCGTACACAAGAACACTTTAAGAACAAAAAGGATTATGGGCAGTCTATCATTTCTAAGGTCTGGCATAATGTGGATTACTTTTTTTTTTTATACATGTATTACAAACTAAAGTTTGAATGCTGTAAGATATTTAGATCAAAAGCACTACATCTGACCAATAAAATCATGATGAATAACAAAAATGTATAAAATAATTACAGAAATCACTGATCACTTACAACACTTACAAGTGACTGGTTAAAATAAAATCTTAAAAAAAGAACACATCAACAAGAATTAGTTAATAATTTGAAAATACAACTCTTACTCACAAATTTAAGTTGGTATTAATTGTGTTTGTAAACATAGGTATATTCAATAGTTAATTTTAATCAAAAAATGAATTTATGACATGCTGGGTCAATCTGAAGTATTTTTAGTTTTTACGTGTTTAGAATTAAACTAAATTTCAAATAATTACTATGAAATACTGAAAATCTTTTCTTATTGAGCTGCTTTCATGTTGTCAATATCCATGCGACTTCAAACTCTGTATTCCCTTAATGCAATGCAAAACATATGTCAAGTTTCCCAGAATTCTCCACTCCTCTACCTTCGACGTGATTTATAGCACATACACCAGGAGAATATATATATAAGCCAAATTTCTCTGTTTGTTATTGTAATATGTTTTTCCTGGTATGGAGAGGTGGGTGGTGATGTATTTTAGAGGTAACTTCCTGTTTGAAATCAATTTTAATTCTAAAAATCTAAATTGAAATTGGGTAGACGTACCAATAAAATACTAAAAACCAAAATAACCACACTGAAATGGAGAAGAGAACTGAAGATGGTAATAAGGAACACAAGTTCCCCAAAACCTATGGAAGGTAACAACCTTTAGTGGCCAAGCAGAGTTTGAGTCGAATCCAGAACCAGAGTACAGGTCATGGATTGTGTTCGCGGGATAATCAAGTGGAGCACACAAGCCTCAAGAATACTGAACCAAAATGAAGCCCTGCACATTCTCAAGTGTGATTGCAAGTTGTGTTATAACAAATAGGCAGGGTCATGGTGTAAAATATCCACTTGTAGTGGAAGGCTCTCTGAGGAGGAGATCAGTAATAATCAAAGACTAAATATGCTTCTGTGGCTAAGCCCCGCCAAAGTCTCAAGACCAGCACCCAGTGAGAATTGAAAAACACCTCGACAGATCCAAGAATAGGCTCAACAACTATAGGATAGTGTAAGATGAACACCAGTAAAGGATAAAAACAGAATGATGAACACCGGTTTCTGTTTGTATCCATTACTGGTATTCATCATTCTGTTTGTATCCATTACTGGTATTCATCATTCTCTTTGTATCCATTACTGGTGTTCACCATTCTGTTTGTATCCTTTACCGGTGTTCACCATTCTGTTTGTATCCTTTACCGGTGTTCACCATTCTGTTTGTATCCTTTACCGGTGTTCATCATTCTGTTTGTTTCCTTTACCGGTGTTCATCATTCTGTTTTTATCCTTTACCGGTGTTCATCATTCTGTTTGTATCCATTATTCTGTTTGTATCCTTTACTGGTGTTCAACCATGAAGATATGGAACAAAGTGTTGACTGCTTTGAGTGCAAAGTGATTTGGGTTATTATCCTTGACCTTAACTGGTGTTTATCATTCTGTTTGTATCCTTAACTGGTGTTAATTATTCTGTTTGTATCCTTTACTGATGTTTATTGTTCTGTTTGTATCCATTACTGGTATTCATCATTCTGTTTGTATCCATTACTGGTATTCATCATTCTGTTTGTATCCATTACTGGTATTCATCATTCTGTTTGTATCCTTTACTGGTGTTCACCGATATTGATATTTTTAGTAAAACTACTTAATTAAAAAATCTTATTTCTTGTATACAAAAGCCTTGTAATGTTTACTGAAAGCTTAATCTAAAGATCACAAACTCATTCAAATCGACCAAGCCTTTAGTACAAGAGTTAATATGATAAAACCCTAATCAGCCTCTGCTAACATGCATCTTCTGAATGAGAGACTAGCGTGAATGAAAATCCTGCAAAGTCAAATGATGCAGGGAAGAATCACTTTCAAAGTAAGCTGGAGAGAGACATAGTACCTTGTAACAAAGCACAACAGACAAACGTGTGAGAGGGATATAACAGTGATGTAGCAAGAGAGAAAGTACATCTATGACAACTACAACAAAGGAAGGCTGCAAGTTAAAAACTTATTCCTGACTAAAAGAACCCCAAGAACTGGAGTAGCTGAAGCTAATAATTACTCTGAAGAAGAAAGTCTCAAAATGAGTTAAATTCATTGTGTGCAGAGTAAAACATGAAAATGGGTAAAAATAGAAGATAACCCTTAAGAAAAATTATCTGAGAATGAAAAGCTTGAGAACCAAGATGAATAGAGGAAGACAACCCCTATAAAATGATATTAATATTTTGCTTTTTCCTATAAACATCAGCAACAACCTGAAACAAAACCAGAAAAAAATAGGAGAAGATATAAAGATTCAATATCTAAGTCATCCAACATGACATTAGCCTAATCTAACCTCAGGCAACAGAAATAGTTCAAGACTTAAAACAAAACATACCCAAACAAATTTATCAAATCAACAGAATTAGGGCTAGCTGACAAATCCTGCTCTAAATGAAGATGAATAGGCCTAAGCAAAATATTTTTTTGTCTTGTTTTTTTAAATCATCCACATTACAAGAAAAGGGAGAATGTTTTCTAGGTGAATGTGTGTGTGTGTGTGTGTGTGTGTGTGTGGAAATGATGGCCTGAATATGATGATCATCATAAGGGCCCACAATATAGCCAAGGGATCTCATTCTAGTAGTCTGTCTCTACTTATTAAAAGCAAAGCATCCAACAAAGTTGTGAAAGATCCTATATTGGAAGAAACATTAGCGACAGTAATCAGCATTGACTTCAAAATTCACAGTGAGTGAAGATAAAAGCATGACTGTCAAATCAGAAAATCTGGCTTATTGTGGAAAAGAAAGGTTTATGTATATTTTGATATATTGCCAATAAACTTGCATTGTGTCAAGAACATTTAGAATTTGAATTCATATGCTTGTTGACAATATGAAAGCAACTTAACAAGAAAAGGCTTTCAGTATTACATAGGCAAATCTACGCAATTTGAATGTTCATTTTACCTTCTTTAATTTAGGTTAATAAAGATGACAACCTTCATATGCTGGATTAATTTGAAGTTTATTTAACACTATGCACTCAGCTTAGTATGCATGTCATGACCATTTATACAGTTACATTCAAAATGTAATGAAACAGCTTTATTATCTATATGTTTTAATATATTTCACATTAAAACATAAATAATATAAAACTCTGAATGTAAACCAAGTTTTAATTTCTTAACTTCAAATGGAAATATTTAAATAAATCCCTAATATTCATGTCTGTGTCACAGAATATAGCTCTCCTTTGAATTTTCATTATAAAATTTTCTCTTTTCCCTTATATGTCTTTCAGTGTTCAACCAATTAGAAACACAAACTATAGGTACTAGCCAATAAGAATACAAAATTTGAACCTCCTTTGTTATTGATTTGCCGAGATAAATAAATCTGTCAAACCCACCAAAGAGGATCTTGCCATATTGTCATAAATTTAAGGGGGTTTTTAGCTTATGTGGTATGCATTTAATGGACATCTTTATAACCAAAGTGCAATGTACCACCTTCTTACACTTGTTTGTTTAGTTTTGATGATCAGACTCGGCAGTTTGCAAAAAACTTTGGAGGTGTGTTGAGTAAAGGTTTTTTTATCAGTAATGAAATTAAGTTTAAAAAACTTTTTTAAACTTTAATTTTTACTTTTAACGTTTAGGGTTAAAGGGAAACCGTACCGTAAAGTAAAATTTAAAACTTACGTAACGTT